TGTGGAGGAGGATGATTAACAGAGAAACCCATGGCACGCATTTCATTTGACTTAAGGATTATACTTGAATATCACTGATATTTGCTAACTAATATTTGTTAAATTTATTTTTTATTTTGATTATAGCTTGATTTCACATCGTATTTTTGTTACAAGTATGAAACTTTCAGCATGTGATATAGGTGGCCCAAATTTTTTAGGCCAACCAACTGATATCAGGTGTGTATCGGTAGGGGATCGAACCCCGGAACATGTGCATGGTCGGCGTGAGTCTAACCGCTGTGCCACCGACGCACATCACTATGATAAATACTTGTTATTCAGTGGATGAACTGATGAAATATGAATGTTTGAAACATAAGAGTAGTGCGTTTCAGTTTCACTAAGAGTACCACTCTACTAGAATAGTATATTCATGTACACAACTGATGAGTTGAAGATGAGGACAAAACATCCCCTCCTTGATTTCATTCACTACTAGAAATCACGGTTATATTGAGGCAATCAACCAGGAAGTCATTTAGAGATAAGATTTTATTTTGATAAATCACACAGTGTTGTTATACAGTAATATTAACTGATGACCACGTTTCGAGCACAAATTATTGACACTCATAATCATATCAAGTCACTACTCACACAACTTTTTCCTTCATTTATATACATGTGTGGAATTGACTAGATATTTTAATAAAAATCAATATGCGATAATGTACATTCAGAAATAATAACACGAGTGTTATTGATCAATTACAATCAGATGGGAAATGAGACGAGTGTTTTTACAGTCAAAATAAGTAACTTGTTAGAATGTTGTGATGTACTTGAATTGAAATAGAATTTTGAGATTATTTATTATCCACCTCTGATTTGACTGACTAGTGGTAATAATATCTTCCATATTTCTGGTATTTGCATTGAGTCATTTTGTTGCATGTGTTGGGTGTAGACTCAATGAACCAAGCCGGATTCAGTAATCAATCTCTCTCGCTCTCCACCTACATAGATTACTTCTTAGAATCTTAACCCTCTCCCATCCTATTGTGTGGTTGTGTGTTAATACATGTAGTGCAATGTAGTGCTGAGCTTTTTTCTAAATTACTTATCTACTCGGCGTCAACCATTCTTACCTTAGCTAAATTCTTATGTTCCGACAATCTGATTACCCCCGGCTTACTAGTCTGACCTATGTAGTTGACCTAACTCACAGTCATTGCAAGGTATTTTGTAAATTATATTATTTTGCTTAATTGGGTCCACTGGTCTTTCAGCCGACAGAGCTTGTCTCTGAGTGAGTTTGTAGGTTTGAATGCCACTACCCTAATTCCTGCTTTATTAAGAATCCTACGTAGGGCCTCAGATGTCATCAGTTAATATTACTGTATAACAACCCTGTGTGATTTATCAAAATAAAATCTTATCCATAATGGAGTTATACTCTACCACAATGCCCAAATTTATACTTAATCAACCAGGAAGCCTACATGTTCTATTTAGACTGATCATCCTTAATCCAGAAATATTAAAAGGGAAGTTAAAAGAATATATAAATAAATATGGAATTTTCAAGAGATACTTTAAATAGAAATTTGTAAGAATCTTTTATCAGTTTACATTGGAATATAGCCGTAAGATTTAAAGAGCTCATCATTGTCTTTATTTACTTCATGACTTCTCACCAGCTATTAACAGCCAAAAATATGACATGAATTACTATAAATGCGAAATATTATACAAGAAAATTCAAAAATAGTTTCAACTCGAAAGCAACTTAGTTGTGGAACAATAGATATGCCTACAAGGTAGTTGCGTTATATAAGTTGAGAAATTCTTCTATTCCTTCACGTTCCCAGTAGAACATAGGACTTCAAGCTAGAGGCTTGCAGTTTCTGTAGCGGTGGTGATTATTTTTACAGGATTGGGTTATTAGCCTCATGCTCAACCTTTCCTCTTTATCAGTCTTCTTACTGGCTTAGAGAGATGGAGTGCATCGACCGGAGGTCGAACCCCGGACCATGTGCATGGTTGGCGAGTGTCTTAACCGCTGTGCCACCAACGCACATGTTGCGAAATGGTAGAAGCTAAAAACTGAGGGCCACCAAGTTGGGTTCCACTGGCTGAATGGTCTACAAGTTCACCTGTAACCGGGAGGTCCTGGGTTCCAATCCCAGGGAGCACATACCGCTAAAGAGTCCCAAACTAGGACGAAAACGTCGTCTAGTATTCTCTGCTTGTTTTCAATAGTGCCCTAACTGATGTCAACTCATTGTCGAACCTGTAACCAATCAAATTTCCGTAAACCAACACAATCTGAGTTTGTTTATATATATAATATGATGGAAAGTTTAGAAGGGGAAGAATGAAAGTGACTAGAGCTTCCTGTTAAAAATAACTTTGAAAATTATAAGTAACCAATAGAATCAATGAAGTCTTCATAAAATGAATCTATGCCAGGGTGAGGAACAGCTTTTACAACAACACAAATAGTGGTATATCATTTCAGTAGAAAATATCGCCCCCTTCAATTATTGATTTTTCCTTTTTCTATAGTAAGAACATTTAAACAAAGTTCAACGGAAACATAATTTCATAAAACCAAAAGTCAGTTTGATCAAGTTAATAAACCATCTAAGCAATTCACAGTTCCCTTAGCTTCCGTTTAAGTTTCTTCTTTCGTCTCTCTTTTTGTTTAATCTTTTTTCGTTCGCTGTGTGTGTGATTCTTACTCCCTCTGTCTTCATTCGATTCGACCCATTTTTTTTCAGGTATAAAAACAGTTATTTTAATGTTGTTTCCATGCTTTTCCTGCTCACATTTATAATTCGTTTAAAATAACTATTTTACAATTATATCTTAAGCCTGTACAACTTTTTGTGTTTCTAAGGCTCTTGTAATCTATATTTACACCTTCTAACTCCCATTTCAAGTTGAAAATTATTATTTCAATTTTGTTTCCATGCTCATTTTTACACACTTGTTATCCGTTCTAATCCTGTGTAACTTTTGTTTCTAAGCCTCTCGTAAACCAACCATATCTAGTTGAAATTAATTGTCACCTTTGATTCGCTGTCGTAATTATGTGGAATCAAACAAGAATTGCATTCATGTGAAATTATGTATTTAAATGCGATTGTACAGCTTTTGAAAATGAAATCGCCGAAAAGACAGTTGTCTTTGCTGAACTTCGTGTTCTCTTCTTCTAATGTCCATACTGGTGTTTTCCACGATCTAATTGACAGTTTCCCGCATACTCTTGACAACATATTACATAATTTTTAATAAAAAATCACTTTTATTCAAACATTTTACAAGTGCGCTTTCAAACAGAGAAAACTCTCATTTCATCTAACATAACAACATGCCGTTTACTGACAGTTTGAGCTTTGGAATTTCGGTAGTTATCAGAGGTGTTTATTTTCTACATGGTGAGATTGCTAGTTTCATGTCCAACTTTCACTCATCACCGGCTGATCGAAGTGAAGGAGTAAATCGGTTGGGGATCGAATCTCCTAACCACATGTATAGTGACCCATTTTATTACTAATCATCGTAGTATACTTTCACTATGTAATTGAACTTTGATTTGTTTATCACTCTAAAGATTGTGTGTTAACAATTGAAAGATTCGTACTTGCGCAACTTTTGAATTTTGATTACTATGATAATACACGTTCGTACACCTTCTCAAGTGCCTTTGATTTACCTTGTGGATGTCGAGTAATCACAACGTTAGGACACAATAATAAACGCGAAGAAGTATTAGGATATACGTGTCAAATAAAGAACCACAACAACTGGTGAGCCCGACTTAGCTGATCAACGACATCATTTCGAAGTACACACATAGTGGATTTAATCATCATTGCTATCGTACTAACTTTGATAACTGCATCACATTTGGATTTATATATTTGCTGACATTTTTGCTAAAAATACCTAAAAAATACCATTTTTGGATTTTTTTAAACACTGATAATTGACCGATATATATGGCCGAATATGAATCGTGAGATTAAACAGTGGACCAGAGCGTGTTTAGCTTGACAAAAGTCAAAAGTACAAGGACATACAGTTTCATCTAATGGCCAGTTTCCGGATCCTGATGGTAGGTTCCAACGCATACACACTGACATCGTTGGACCGTTACCACCATCTAATGGCTTTATTTATATTTTAACGTGTATTGACAGATTTACGAGATGGCCAGTAGCTAGTCCCTTACCTGATATTGCTGCTGCAACTGTTGCAAAGAGCATTATACAAAATTGAATTTCCGACTTCGAGTACCCAGCATTATTACTACATTCAGGGGTGCTCAATTCGAAAGCCATTTATTCCATCAACTCACAGAACTACTGGGAATCAAGCGTATACATACTACTGTTCAAATGGCTTAGTGGAGAGATTTCCTTGTCAACTGAAAGCATCATTGATGGCAGTGAAGGATGATGATAAGTGGAGCGATAAATTACCTCTGGTACTTATTGGAATACTCTCGACAATAAAACAAGATACCGAGTGTTGTCCAGCAGAATTAGTTTATGGAAATACTTTACGACTACCTAGAGAATATTTCAACCCAGCCACTGAAGTTCCAACCAAACTACGAAACCATCAAAAGTAAACAGTAACATTACGTTAATTAGAAGATTAATAATGAGTTCAAATCAGTAAATGATAGTTAAAAACAAAACAAAAAAATTATGACGTAAGAAACAGACAGAAACAGAGCCATGAAATAGTTGTGTTTTTTTTAAATCAAGAGCTATTTTATTTCCGTAAATATAATCATCGTTTTGTTGAAATTAATCAAGGAAACTAGAGTTATGTCATTGAAATTCAATTTAAATTATTCTTGCAAAGCATAAAGAAACAAACATTACATCATCAAACAAAATGAATGATTTAAAATTATTTAATCCCATAAAAAAAAAGAAAATATTATTTTTATTCATTAAATTATAAAGTGATTGTGAAAAATAAAAAAAAATCTAACTTACCGATCATTCCAAACAGTTTCTACATCCAACATGTGGTAAAACAGAAGAAAAACGATTTTCTTAATTATTGTTTCTTCAAAATCTTCACAGACACACAGAGAGAAGTGTTCACAACACAATAATGAATGGTATAATTGAACAGTGAACCAGCTTTTAATTTAATATGTTTAAATTTCTATTTGAAAATATTGAGCAGAAATTTTGAATTAATCCCTTTCTGTTTACACCGATATATATATATATATATTTGAGTGTATATGTTTGTGGATATATATAAATGAAGAAGAAATTTATTTAGAATATAAAGACATGTACACACGTAAAAAACAGTGGTTTAATATGTATGTATATAAGTAGTGTGTAAATTTTTCAGTTGAATTGGTTGGGGGGGGGGTTGATGGCGGGAGGGAGGCGTGGGGTTTCTTATCTTCACTGTTTTGTCGCCTTCTTCTCAATTACCTCCTTTCGTTTTTGTTCACTATTATTGTGCTCTTCACCTTTTCTTTGAAAGTGTAGATTTTATCTTTATGTTTTCTATTTCTGTTTCTTTCGTTCAAAATTTGTGTGTGCGTATGTGTGTGTGTGTTTACCTGTATGTATGTAATTGTAATCAACTCAGTAAGTACGATAACAATGATAATAATAATACTAGTAGTGATAATAGCTGATTGGATATGTTTTTGTCGTTTTCTCTTGATGTTTTTTTTTCAAAGTTTATACCTTTATTTTGTGCTTAAAGAGAGTAAAGTAAGTGAGAATCTATATGCAGTTCAAGGACACTTTATGCTCATATACACAACCATAATTCATTGAATCATTGTTTTTTTTTTATAGTTATGATTAGTATGAGATTAGTAACAGAAGCCAGTTGTAGTTAATTTGGACAATTTTCAAAAAGGGTTTGATTAAATCTCTCTGGAAAGATCTTCTTTTGTTTCAATTATCAATTGTTTAAACATCTTTATTTATCAGTTGAAATCATTTGTTAAAAGAGGGAAGATTATTGTGCATAATTAGTATTATTATTATGATTATGATTATAATTATTATAACACCTAATAAACCGATGAGAATACGTTTATATAGATGTGAAGATTTTAGTTCATCAAACAGATAGATAGCTAAATGGCTAGATAGTGTTATTAAGAATTTGAAATAGTAAAAATCAATAATATGATTAGTATTAATCTATATTTTAAATAAATGCATGTAAGCGCATACTCATTCACACACACACAAGCATATATATGTATAATTTCTATTTACGCCTAATATACTACTAGTTACTTAATAAGTACATACTGTATAGATAGATATATGTATATATGTTTGCAAGATAAGCAGAAGCTATTGTAATCACCTCTTTAATTAATAATAATAACAATAATGTTAATTGTAAGTAGTTCACTTACACTACACTTTGTTAACGATAAACTTTTTGAAATATTTTCATTCTTTTAGAGAAAATCTGTTTGTTTTTTCTTTCTCTTCAAGATGACCTAAAGAAAGACGAGAACATTTAAGTGAGTAAAGAGAATAATCATTGAAGTGGAAAGAAACAAGGTGCAATTAAGTATCCGTGTATGTTGATGCCTTAATTGCTTATTAGCTTACAGGTTAGCTTGTAAAAGACATTTATTTATTTAATTATTTATTTACTGATAAATATGTATATTTCATCTACTTCCTTTTAGAAATGTAATGGTTATGTAGTCTTGAAAGTGGAGACAAAGTACTACTTATTTGGAGAATATTAGTAATATCTGTGGCAGCATATATATATATAATGTGGAAGCTCTGAGGGAATACCTGTTTTATTCTAGTCCTGGACTCATCGGCAGTACATGCCCACCATCAGGGTTCGAATCCATGACCTTATGGTTACAACACAAGCTCACGAGATGTGCAGTATAAATGGCACTGAAATAGAAAGCAAGTTGGAAATTAAATATCTTAGCGTCCTTCTTTCTGCTGATCTTTCCTGGTCGTCTCATATCTTGATGATTTCTAAGAAAATATTCCGTCTCACATTCTACATCAAGAAGTTAAGACATTCTGGAATAACCCAACTCTTACTCTTACAACATGTTAACTCTTACATCCTGCCTGTTATTCTCTATTGTTACCCTTTAGTTTTTCCCGAGCTACTGAAGAAAGACTATATCTTATTACGTAGGGTGTTAAAGGTTGTCTTGTCAGCAGGGTAAGCAACGTACCACTTAACCAGCTTGTTAATATTCTGGTCGACAGGCACTTGGACTCATGTGAAAAATGGGCTGAATGCATTCTATCTGACTCACATCCCCCTCTTCATTCACAACTCTCCCCTTGCATCTCATCAGGCAAAACCAGAATCCTATATAGAAAACTATATGCTCTTACTAGTAAGTACAAAAACTCAACCATACCCTACTTGCCTCGTGTTCTGTGAGATGAAGAAAGCATTAGGCATGAAACTTATAACTCATTAAATAGTCAGTAGAACAATTAGATCTCGTCTTTCCAACTCATATCATTTATAGGTACAACGTTTTCTTTCTTTCTTTTCCTTTTCTCTCTCTTTTTTTCTCTCTGTTATGTGCTGCTTTGTTTCTTTCTTCCTTACAAACTCTATTTAAAACATTCTTCTTCGTTCTTTCACACTCTGTATATCTCGACCTTTTTGTCACCGCTTACGCCAGTAAATATGCTAGCATCTACTTTTCTAACACCTTCAAACACTCTGTTCAATTTTGGCTTTGCTACCGATAAGCCAATATATTGTTGTCACAACTAACTGAGATTACTCTTAATCCATGTAGAATTTTATTTATTGTTAATGTGCTAACTAGATGCAATACTATAATAATATGCTGAGAATTCCATTCTGCTTCACAAGTACTGTTTTGGAATTAAGCAAATTATTACTATTAGATCAGTCAGCCACTGGTACCCGACTCATTAGTCAACACATGAATTCCAACTTCTAACAGTTCGTGATAAAAGCATGATTGGCACCAGTCAATTTCATCATTTGTGAGTATTTGTCTTCACTCTCGAAGTGGTGGGTCCCACTGGTCACGGCATCTCATCAGAACTGTAAACAACTTCGTCCTGTAGCCATTCTTTAAGGAGTATCAGATTAATTTTGAAGAATTCGTTTGTAAGGATTCGATTCGTTCCAAGTTTGCCCATGATGGTTACGCTAAAATGACAAATTGATAGAAATTAAAATTCAGAGACCACTGAAGTGTGTCCCAGTGGGTGAATTTTCTACGAGGTTACCTTTTAACCTGAAGGTCCTGAGTTCTTACCGTGTAGGGATGTGTACTACTGATGACTCCGGGACTAGGACAAAACAGCTGTTGCCCAGTACTCCCTGTCATTTTTCCAGTGGTTCTCTAACTGATATTATTCTATGGGCAAAACTTGAAACACACTGGAATAATCACGCTGTAACTAGAAGGTGAAGATTATTGAGTTCCGAGGTAGGTTGCATAATATGAAGAAAGGTTAGGAAAAATTGGACGTTAGTAAAATTGCATCGTGAAAAAGTATCAAAATAAATAATGTAGAAGGTGAAGACAGTGAACAAAAGTAAACAAGCCGACATGTCAACCTGAGACCGAGCACTTCGGTCCAATCAATCGACGGGAAAATCAAAAATTCAAATCAACAGTGAACAAAAGGTTAAATGTCGTACGAAAACAGGCAAAAAAGTATACTAAAAACAAAACAGTGATAAAAGTTGAGGTTGAAATTATACCCAAGGAAAAAATCAGAGGATATAAAAAAGTTTCTTCTGTGTAAATAATCGCTAAGGCCTAAGCAATGTAAAATATGCGGAAACATACCGCTTAAGGGAGAAGCTTCTTTTTACTTTGTAGATACCTTTGAGTAAATTTACCTTGGATACTGAGTGTGCAGTGTTAACTATGTGTTCAATTACAGCAATTCTTATTGATGCACTGTGTCATTTCTGTAGCTAAGATGGATGGTGCTTCTTGACTCCTTTAGATAAAATACTCATTAAATGACCTATATATCACGCTGCATAGAAGTGAGTGAATTGGTAGTTAGTTGCACACAGAAGTGGCCAGATGAAATAGTTTACCTTTAAAGTTAATAGAGGACATTGAGCATCAGGAGAATCCTAGTCTTATTATAGCTACAAAGAAAGCTGTTTTTTAAGACTTTTGATATTCTCTTCTTAACGGGGCCTGCTAGTAGGTGGTCATTTCTGAGCATCACATTCCGGTATAGTATCTTCAGCGATACACAAACGGGATTTCCTTTGTTGGTGTCAAGTCTTATACGATTATCTATAAAGCGCGTAAAGTAGCCATTTTCAAAGAGTTTTTTTACCTTAAAAGAGTGATCTCTTCATCTACTGACTCAGAGATGCAGATTCAAACAGTTATTATTATTATTAGTGTTCCATTGGGTTCTGAGTGGAACATAGGGCTCGAGACGAACATCTCCACTTTGTCCTGTGTGCTGGCCCCATGACTGTCCATAGTCTGTCATCTCCTGCTTTCACGATCGCTTCCATGTCACATTAGGATACATACTCAACTCTTTCCCTCTCACTCGGGTTCCATTCGAGCAATGATTTGTATTGAGCCCGATGTCACCCGGCGGTCGCCTCAGCGCCTGCTCCACCAATCTATATTCTCCTCGCCATATTTGTTCAGCAATCAGTTCTTGGTTGCTCCAGCTCCAGGGTTTTCTGATGGTAATTCTTTCTGTTCTGCTATCTGATCTTTAATGTGGAGCTAGGGAAGGCAGCTGTTGATAAAATTCTGTAGTAGACTGTTAAAAACTTTTTTTATGACTCTGGATACAAGTATCTGACCTATGCAAAAAAACTAATTGATTGTTATATAGACCTTATTTCCCTAAAATACTACATTGCAGTGCTATATTTGTTTCCCCTAAATTATGACCTTGGAATCCTATTGGTTTTTGACTTATTCAACTTATTCATGCAATTAGTGTCTCTCAAGGCCATTTAAAGCATATATATACATATATATATATATATACGCAATTGCCATCAACCCTTTTCACCGTTGACTCGACACACTAAAAGCTCTCTGTGTCAGTGGTCTGTCTTCGTGCGTCACACGTTCCGTGATATCATATCTTGTCTTACTTTGTTGCTAACAGTGATTAGAATAGTAGACTGATAAATCGACTAGGTAAGAAGTTCATTAAAGAAAATTACCGAAAGTATTAACGGCCATATCACTGATTAAATAATA